CTACATATATACTATACATAGCTACCATACAAACTGACCAATCGAAACTGAGTTCTTGTATGAAAAATCGTTTTATTTGACAAGAAATCTTCTTGAAATTTTGCATAGATTATAATCCAGGGCAGCGTTACAATTTCCGTACAAATTGTTCGGATTGGACCACTATAGCATTTAGCTGCCATACAAACTGACCAATCAACATCAAGCTCTTATATGGAGAACTTTTTTGTTTGACAAAATATCTTCGCGATATTTGGCAAACATTGTTTTCTAAACCAATGGTATAATATCTGAACAAATTGTTCAATTCGGACTTTTATAGCATTTAGCTGTCATACAAACTGACCAATCAAAACTAAGTTTTTGTATGGAGAACTTCTTTATTTGACAAAATATCTTCACAAAATTTGACAGAGATAATTTTTCAAACCAGCGCTATAATAATCCAAACAATTTTTTTAGATCAGACCACTATAAAATATAGCTGCCATATAAACTGACCGATTAAAATTAAGTTTTTCTATGCAACACTTTTTTATTTGGCAAAATGATTGAACAAAATCAAAATATAAATGTTTTTTATACCTTTTTATGCTATACAAAAACACAACAATGAAAGGTATTGAAGCACATGCTTATTTTTATTTACTTTTTTGAACATTTTTATTTCATATTTTGGGGCTGTACAAAGCATACGTGTGTGTGTGTGTGTGCGTAACACAATAGCAGCAATGGGTGTCTGGGGTACCGTAAAGCACACACTAAAGTTCGCTGTGAAATGAAAGCTTAGTTACCGGAAAAGTTGATTTTTAAACAAGTTTTCGCCTGCGCATTTCAAATATTTTTGTTGTTGCTTTGGCTATGTTCATGCCTCAGCCTTTTCCTTTCAAATATCATTATTTTGCATTTTTGCTAGCATTGTTGTTGTGTGCGGCGTTGTTTTTGTAATTAGCGCCAACACAACCGGAGGCAGTGCAAATGGCAGCAAAAGCAAAGTACCGGAAAAATAACGGACAGTGTGCGGCGAGCAAGTGAAATCAGCATAACGGTTGGCATAAGTTCATATGATTGTTGTTGTTGTTGTTGTTGTTGTTTTATTTTTGSTTCTGCCACGCGTACATCTAACTGTTTAAATAGGATTGCGATGCTTTAAGGTTGCTCTTCCCTTGCTGTTGCTATTCTACAACAGTTGTTGTTTTTGTTTTTGCATTTAGCGCCATCGTGCAAGTAATTAATAAAACGTATTTGTGCTGTTAATTGTTTGTGCTAATGTTAATTCCGTTATTCGCATTTTTTCGCTTTACACTCAATTATTGTTGCTGTTGCTTTTCTTCTGCTCCTTTCGCATTCTCACTCAGCATTCATTTGCACGCGCCAAAACCCCTCACATTCATTGCGAACATTGCGCTGCATTTTTGAATGCCATTTCGAATGTTATTTTCAGAGGCATTTACATTTGATTTCTCTCTTTTTCGCTCTTTTTCCGCTTACAAGCAGTTCATTAATGAAGAAATGAGCAAAAAGTCGCAAATAAATAACGGTAACAACAAGCAAAACTGTAATCAACAGCGCATAACCAACCGTTGGCGAGTGTAAACTTGAAAACTTTTAATAAATGATTGTTGTAAATTTGGTTTTCACAACAAAAGCTTATAGAACGTGATATACTGATTGCTTGTTGGGGGTGAACCCGCAATTTAAAGCTAAATTTTCAATATAACCAGAGTGAAAAACTGCTCGTAATTGAAATTTGGAATTCGAACTTCAATGCGACCCTGCATCAGTAATCGTCATTACATAACTAATGGTTGTATATAAGCATACTAAAGAGGGATTAGTCATGGGTAGAACTTCACAAAAGTGAGGAAAGTTCTCTGAGTGTCATTCACTTGTGCCCAGAAACGATTTTTTTTATATATGGCTCAAGCAGCTTACGATTTCCGGCCTTAGACCAATTATTCTCTGGGTAACCACAGTAAATACGTTTGAAGGCAAGCTGGGTTTGGGACCCGACACGTGATAATTATGAAAACAGTTTTCTTAGTGAGAATGTGTGAAGTAGTTTGAAATTGAGATCAAAATTGAGCTTTGATTAAGCCAAGATACGCACCATCGAAATAAAAGGTACATGCTTAAAATTATTATCACTGTGCATAATTTGGATATAATAAGCGCTTTGATATTGGGAAGCAATTTCGCTATTATTTTGAATAGTATATTTTAGGTAATGACGACAATGTAAAAATTATATGAATGAGGATATACAAGGTGAGTTCCAAAGCAAATAGGAATCTAGCGCCTCCAGGTGGGGCTGTCTATATGTCTGCAGGTGCGGTAGAATCTGCTATCTTTATCATTAATTCTTTAATTGGAAGTGCAGTTATTGCGTTCGAAGTGTCAGTATGTTTGTGTTAACGGTGCGAAAATGAGCTTCGAACAAAGAGCCAACATTAAATTTTGTTTTAAAATTGGTAAAACTTTTACCGAAACGTTTCAATTGATGAAACAAGTTTATGGCGATGATTGCCTATACCGTAGCAGAGTGCATGAGTAGTTTTAATATTTTCAAAGTTGTCGTGAGGCATACATATATTAGGTTGTCAAAAAAGTCTTGCAGCATTTTTGCGGTGTTTTTATTGAATGTTCAATCGTTCATAAAATTTTTTTTGATGACTCATGCCCAGCTCTTGATCGATGCTACGGCTTGCAATTTTCGACGACAGGCCTTCTGGAGCGTGGCGCATCTTCGACCACCTGTACACCAGAACGAAAACGTTGAAACCATCGTTGTGCGGTGGAAATGGAAACTGTATCGGGTCCATAAACTGCACACATTTTATTGGCGGCTTGAGATGCATTTTTGCCTTTATCGTAGTAGTACTGTAAAATATACCGTATTTTCTCTTTATTTTGCTCCATGTTTGCGACGCTATAACTCACGAACGACTTAAAAGAAACGACAATCAATCAAACACGTGTTAGCGCGTAAAATGAGCTTTCCAAAAAGGTATAGCATGACCCGATGCGACGAATAAAACTAGCACTACGCGCTCTCAGCGCCAACTAGCGAAAATACCGCAAGACTTGTTTGACAACCTAATATGACGATCAACATGTGGGGCAATCAAAATCCGAGATCATCCATTGAAACTGTGCATGAATTCATGAAAAATCAGCAAAAATCATCATTGAAATTTTTGGAAATGGAATTGAATATCTCAAAAACATATCCAAACATTTGGGCTTACGAAAGGTGTGTGCACGATTTGTTCCGCACAAATTGACTGACGACCAAAAATTGCTCAGAATCCAACATTCTAAGGCCGATTATTTAACCAAAAATCACATTTTAACCATTAACCACTCCCCGTATTCACCATGCGGCTTCTTCCAAGATTTTGGACCGTCCAGAAAGCTATATTGAAGCAGAAGGACTAAAAAAAATTGATTTCGCCGAAAATACTATTTGTTCTGCTTTTTTAAGGCCTGTTCACTTTGGAACCCACCTTGTATTATTAAATTTTTTTCCCCTGAAGTGCGGCTTCGTTCAGGTGGTATGCATCCACTACGATTGCAAATTTGCTACGCAGGCCTTGAGCTCGTTGACGGTGCGCTTAAAGCTAGTCAACTTATATTAAACTACACATTAAACTTGTCTAAGTGCTTGGCCACAGCGAAATCGTGGAACATTAAAAGTTCAATTAACTGCAATCTATTGGCAAGGCTGTCAGCGGCGCAATTCTAGGTGTCCGAATTGACTGACACTGTTCCATTAGGCAACGAAGCTAAATATATTGAAAGACGCAAATTGTCAATGTTGCAATGAGAAAGATGAGGTGAAAATATCTACATAGTTTCTACTCCACTCTTGAGCTTACGACAGATTAAAGTCAAAGCATCTCGTTTGCCATACTTTGTCTGAACCGTCGAGTTCTCTGAATTTGATATTAGCGGCCTAAACAAATTTACGGTTGGCTCTAAGTGTTTTGACGGCCTCTTTAATTCGTAACTAGGAGTTCTGGTCATCACAAGGACAGGCATCTCTGGCCATCAAAATAGGATTATTCGTGGTGTCAAGAAAAATAGGTGGATTTGCATTAACTTTATTAATGCATCTCAAAGTAAAACAGTTATTTCTCTGCATTTCGAAGTTAGCCCCCGAATTTCGAAATTAAATGTATAGAAAATATCATTGTTTTCATTTATTTATCAAATAATATCCAGAATATTATAGGTATAGTATTGTGTATAATGAAAAAGTCTGTATATTCCCCACTTATTCTGCAGATGCATTACTGTGGGGGGCTCCAGCACCAAAATGCAGTGATTTATTTTAATTTACAACACTTAAATGAAATGCTTTCGAAGGTGCCAAGGACAGCGGAATATAAGTATTTAATAATTAAAGGCATCTACCAAAATAATATGTCTGGAAATTATTTCTTTTGAGTGAAGAAAATTTGTTTGTTTCCTTTTACTCCGCATATGATTAATTAATCTGTTCTACTTATGCGCGTGTAAGGAGCATTTTAATTAAAAATACTTGGAATACTTGAGAGCGAAGTGGGAAATGGCAAAAATGGCAATTGGCGTTGCAGCAAGGAATCAATGCGCCGATGCAGCAAAAAATGCACAGAAATGCACGCTTGCACATAATTATTTCTTGTTGAGGGCGTTCGCATCGCGGGGACCTGTGTCAAGATTTAAACAGCGAAAAATGTTAATTAAATGTGTGTGAGTGAAGTGAAGACATACACAGGCACAGACACAGGTTGTTAACAAAATGTTTTATTTTATGTATATTTGTGTGTGTGTGTGTGAATGTGTGTTATGATGTACTTAATGTGTGGCACAGCATTTCAGATATTTTTGTATGCATAGTTTATAGTTAACTACATACATATATACACCTCATACATGTTTGTATAAGTGTGACTGTAGTAAAAATGCTTGTTAAAATAGCGCAGCTCTTTGCATTGCTGGGCAGCATAAGTACTTACCTTTGAAGCAGCATTTTTTGCTGCGCACCGCATAAATGCAGAGACAGATTAATATGAGTATGGCGGCTAGGCAGCCGCCAGCGATGCCGAGCAAATAGCTCATCTCCAGTGGTTCTGTTGTGTTGATTGGTTGGTTGGCGGGCATAAGCGTTGGCGATGACCAAGATAGCGCCATCATGGCAGCAATAGCAGGTATGCGTTGTTGATTATTTTGTTGTTGTTTGTTTTGTTTTCCACATTTATAATGACGCAAGTGTGTTTGGCAACGGTAAATGTCCAAAAGCGTTTTTCAGGAGAAATTTGCAGCATTACGGTAATTTTAATGTATATTTTTAGTGGTGTTGTTGTTGTTATTGATAGTTTTCATTGTGGTTATCGCGGATGTCGGTATTCATTTATTTATTTAATGTATATTTCAGTTGAAAATTAAAATTGTATTCCACATAGTCCCGATTAACAGCGTAGAGGATGAGGAAGAATGCGTGCGCGAAAAGTAAAAATAAAATTTTTTATTAAAATTGTTGAAATTAAAATAAAAAATTACAAGAAAAACTATTGATATTTGTTATTTATGTGGTGAAAGGTAGATGAGAGATAAAAGAAAAGTGCTAGCTACTATAGTTTTTCATGCAAAATGTTGCTCATACGCAGCGACATTGAAAAGCAAGCTCAAGGGAAAATATAAATTTTTTACTTAATCAAATTAGTTGGATTGTACGCTATTCGATATTTGGGTTTGGTTGTGAAAAATAAACAAAATATAGGCATGCAAAATATTACTCATACGCCATGGTAAACAATTTTATTAGCAAAGGTGTTCCTATTTGCGTTTATATATAAAATATTTACTTCGTTGCTAAAAGTTGAGAAATTAGAAATTTTTGTATTCTGTTGATATTTAAAAAAACTGAAAAATCAAAGAATTTAGAAAAGTTGGCAAATCAAATATTGCCCGTACGCCCCGTTGAGTTTGATTGCAGGAATTGTTTTAGCAGCTTATGTTTAAATTGCAACTATCATTCGAATTTGTAAGCCATCAGTTTTTTTAAATTATTTTTTTACGATAAGAAAACTAGATGTCTTCTAAAATGGAAAACAACGTATCATCAACACAAAAAAAAAAAAAAAAAAAAAAAAAAAAAAAAAAAAAAAAAAAAAAAAAAACAAAAAAAAGTTGTCAAAAAAAAAAAAAAAATCGGAATCGAAATCGAGTTGTTTATTGCTTACGATTGCTTACTACATCATATTATTTAGTTGTAGAATAACATGTTCAGCTTTTGCTGCTGGATATAACTAGTGCATAACGATTTTATAACCATATGTATAACCATTTTATAACCAAAACCCAAATTTGGTTTCAATTTAAGTGCTTTCCATCAAATCGTTTTTCCTTCGCCCGTACACTTATGAAAAGTAATGTTACGTTTGTATTTTAGGTGACGATATATTAAGTAGACTAAAAATTACTCATACGCCTTGCTGGCATTTTAATAAGGTTTTTGACCATATGTTTTACACGGTATTGTTATTTCTTTTAGTTTTTTCGTTTTCAGCTAAACAAATGTGTTTACTGATTTATGCTCTTCAGTAAATTATATAAACATTTTTTATGACAGCTTTCGACTGAATTGTTTAACATGCAAAATGTTACTCATACGCCTGTGCGAACCCTTTTATATGAAGCTTTGGTGTTAGCAGAGTTTTAATTTTTTTTAATCAATCAGTCAAAAGATATCAAATTTTACAATTAGATAACAAAAAATAAACAAGGAAAACCGTTACTTCTTCTGAACCCAAGTTATAACACTCTTTACAGGTGCAATTCGCATAATACCTAATACTAAGTATAATATGTGTGTAACTAAATCTAAAATATTTAACGGTCAACGAAAAACATTTTCTAGTTCTTTATAGCCACATTGTGGGACAAAAATTTCCTTCAAATCGAATTAAGGTTACCTAATAAGGAAAAAAATCTTCAGTGAACTTCTTTTTTTGGATTTTGAACGACAGTTTGTATGGCAACTATATGTTATAGTGATCCGATTTGAACAATATTAGCAGAGATTGTAGCTTTGCCAAAGATAAAAACTGTGGTAAATTTGGTGAAGATATCTTATCGAATCAAAAAGTTTTCCGTACAAGGTTTTGCATTTGAGCCTTCAGTTTGTATGGAAGCTATATCTTACAGTTATCCGATCTGAACAATATGTCCGAAACATTATAGCATTGTATTAGGAAATAATCCACGATAAATTTTGTAAAGATTTCTCTGCCGCTAAAAAAGTTTTCCAAACAAGGACTTGACTTTCAACGATCAGTTTGTATGACAGCTATATCTTGTGATGATCTAATATTAACGATTTTGACAAATGAGCAGGACATTGCCGAAAAAAGAACGTGTGCGAAATTTCAGATCGATAGCTCAATAACTGAGGGATTAGCTCGCGTATATACTGAGTATCGCTCATACGCCCCGACATCCTAATAATTGCTATTGTGATAAAGCTCCGTTCCACTCACGCGCATCATAAAATATAATTGTTTTTAAGCTTTTGCACTTTGTGTTCTTCATTATTTATGCCACGTGAGAGACAGCAAGAAAGCAAGAATTATGTAAGCGTCTAAAAATTAAATTTCCTTAAATTGCATGCAATATAGTAAGAAAAAATTAACATAATTCACACCATAACCAACACAAACAGTGTAAATAAAGGCATACGATTGCATCAGCGGCAGTGTGTGGCTTGGCTTTTCGTGATGGCGAGTGGCATGATGACGCTTATCGCAAATTAAGACAAGCAAATTACAACTTAATTGTCGCCCATAAGCATAAACGTGAGCGTGTGCATTACGTTAACTGCGTAGGTGTATGTGTGTATGTGCGTTCGTTTGTATGCCTGCATGCAAAATTTTACTTAACATGCAAAAAGATAAGCGCTTATGGGTTGATATTTTTCAGCCTTCTGACTAAATGCCGCATTTCCGCCGCGGACGCCATCGCTGTGGCAGCCACACAGTCGCCGGTGTTGAATGGTGAAAATTAATTTATGCAAATTAAATGAAATTAAATTACTGCTGTAAAATGTCAATTACTAGATGTTGCTGATAAAATGTAAACAACTTTGTGATAAGCGTGTGCATGAGTAAATAGAATTAACATTGAGAGAAGGAGAGGGTTTTTACTTGTGCAGGGACATATTTTTAATAATAGTTCATAAGCTATGTGCTACAGATCGTGATGTTGGGTGGTTTCTATAGCTGATATAGACTTTTGTTTTGGAAATTTATATACCCAAACTATGAATTTCTTCATGTCGGTCAAAGCTTTTCGCTGAGGCATATAGCCAGGTCAATTACCATATTGTTAAAAAAAAAAAAAATGGTTTGGACCTTGGCTGATAAAGAAAATCTTTTCAACTAGAAAATCTAGACTGCTTTTTGCAAAAATTTCCATTTCAAAATATCCATTTAATATCCAGTTAGTCAGTCTACTTAAGCCTATGTCGCAACTACCATCATCCGGTTAAAACCTTGGCAGGACTCAGAGGCGTGGTAATTGTATATTGAAACGACTCTTTCTTTGCGCAAGTCGGCTCTGAATGCATAGCTTCATAACTGCGAGAATCAACTCTCTCTTTGGCGTCGTGTCTATGAAAAATTTGAGACCCCTTTTCGAGGGACGTTTAGAGACTCTGACCCAAACCCAATTAGCAGGGACAAGAAACAAAATGAGAAAACATAATAACCAAAAGGTGACGATGCGAAATGAAGGGAGGTCGACGCTGTTCCGCATTCTGTAATTGGCGTGAGTCCGACTATTACGGTGACGAAACCATAGCCAACTAAGCGTAGTGAAAGCACCGCTACCCCAGTCATAGAAAGTTCAGCGAATGGCTCTTCTAAAAACAATAGGTTGGGGAAGCCGGTGGAAATGTGCCGGCAAGCGAGATGGAAAGGAATCTCTACTAGACCCATATGTGTCCCTGTAAAGACAAAACACTAGCTGTTAAGCAGAAACCAGCATGGTTCAATAGCGCTTGGCTGGTTCGACTGCAGCAAGGAAGATGGTGCCCTCTCCCAAGAAGAATATCTTCAATATCAGTGGTTATGGCTATTTACGCAGATCAGATCTTAGATCTCAGATTTATCAGATGGAACAATGGGCCAATCCCAAAGTGTAGTAGTGGCGGATGGCTCATCAGATGTGCCGATGAATGAGCGGAGGTAATTTTTTTGTTCACCTTTTGTAAAGTTTTTTTGTTTTGATTTACAATCTGGATGACATATTTTAATATTTCTAAGATATGACTACTCCGGAAAGATCAAAAGTGATTGGAAACCAGTATAATATTATTTTTTTTACAGCTACTAAAGCGGCGTCAATTGAGTTCATATTACAATGTCCTGAAGCAACTAGTATTCTTACATTGTCACTAACCAGCTCAGCCAGGACTCAGAAAGTCAATGTGGTTGGGAACTTCGCTAACTTTCATACCGTACTAAGGTTAGAAAATTCAGTGAAATTTTGACAAAAAAAAATTTGCTAAACAAAAAATTTCAATACCTAGAACTAAACAATACTTAACAACAAATACAGAATACTAACATGCATTAGTTACTACAATAGCATTAACGTGCGTGCAACATATATATACGCTTAATGTGGGATAAATAAATGGAAATCACTCTGCACCTGTAAACGTACCCTCCACATTCAAATGAATGGCATGCCGATCGGTGCCGCGCTCATTCTCCACAACTAGATAGTAGGGACGCGAATCGTGCTCATCCGTGCGTAGAATATGCAAAGTGGAGAGATAGCAATCCTCGCGTGAATCCTGCAACATATCGTCGGCGCGAAAGCGGTCTGCTGGCGGCGACAAGCAACCGAAGCAAGTCAGCGTTAAAAGTCAAGTGTTGCGATGGTGCGGTACGGCAGGGTGTGAATTTAGACAGTTTTGTTGGAAATGTGCGGTGTATACGTTTCAGTGTGTGTGTGCGTGTGCGTGTAGATGTGTGTGGGTATGTATCCAGCACACCACAGTGATTGGCATGCGTGTCAATGTCAAATGGCGAAGTGGCGTCAAGGCGATGCCGAAAGCAACGGCACCATAACGGTACAAAGAAAGCGCGCGTACATGGCAAGAGCGTTGCATGTACATGTGCCACATGCAGCACAACATTATGCAACAATTGATTGAGTTAATATCAGCGCAAGCGTTGACGCATACGCAGTTAATTGGCAGACGCATTTGGTAGCGTGGCAGCAAGTTGTTGGCCATGTTGTAATTATTGTTGTTGTGCGCAATTGTTGTTGATAGCAGGCAGCAGGCAGCAGGCAGCGGGTTATTGTTAATTACATCGTTCGCATTCGAAGCGGCGCAGTGAGTTGTCAATGTTGCACATTTTTGTAGTTGTTATTTTATTAAAGTTGTTCGTTGGTTTTTGGTTTCATGTGGCAGGTGTATTGACCGCAGCAACATACCCATTAACGCGTTCAATACATCATTAACAGTAGTGTGAAGTGCGAATAAGCATGTGTTTTTGTCAACGTGTGATTTGTTGTTGTTATTATTATTATTTTCGCAGTTTCAGTTGCAGCATGTGGCAACATGCGTTTGTTGCGTTATTTACATTCGTTATTTAACGGCCGTTGTTGTAGTTGTATCGAGTTCATTAACGACATTGTCATTACGGCGTTTTATAGCATCACCACACATAACGGCATATGAAATGAAAGAGGATCAGAAAGTTGGAAAAATATATGAGTAAATTGTTAATACACATAAATTATTTATCGTATTGTTGTATTTTGGTTTATAATAAATATTAATATTTAAATACTGGTGACAAAATTTCGAAATAAAAGTTAACGGTAATTGTTTTAAATCGCTATTTTAGCATATTCTGGAAAATTTTAAAAATTTTTTAAACTCTACAAACTCTTACGTAGACTGGGGTAGATAATTTGGACCCCTCACCAACCCCCCTCCGCAAGTTTTGACCCATCCGTAAATATGCTTACTTAACCTCTTCTCCAACGGCTTCTTTCCACCCACAACTCCCTCGTCGGTATATGGGTAGAAAAGAAACCACCAGAGTTCGGTTGGACACTCCATGCTCCATGTGATCCATTAAGAAGTTAAAGTGAATAAGGTTTTGCGAGGGTTCAGACTCGTGTTTTTTAGGAACTCAAACTCTCTGAGTCTGATGGCAGTTTTCGTAGCCATATATAATATTTTCCGGCGATGTCCAAGGTCAATATAAGCAGGTTGGCGTTAAGTGCCATGGTTGAAGTGGACCTTAGTGCATCAAATAAGCTGATGAGCGCCGCCCGTTGAACGATCTCGAGTTACTTTGCATGTGTGATATTTTATAGGGCCCCCCACCTCATAAAGACTCTATTGAATATAATGGGCTTCACTATGATGTAGTAGAGCCAGAGGACCACTTCCTGTGAGAGATCTCATCTTTTGCCGAAAGCTTCTCTACAGCAGTACAAGGCAATCGATGAATTCTTTGCTGCCTCTTCGATGTTAGGCTTCTATGAAAGGGATGAGCCCTAGATATTCCACTGGGTCTGCTAGTTGCAGGATGTCTCCCATACGCGGCAGCGGTGACACCGGAATCTTGTATCTTCTAGTGAATAAAACAATATCAGGGTTGATGGTGAGACCGTTTACAATTCGGAAACGGTGCCCAGGAACCTTCCTTTGACCATAAGCGCTACAGCGTCTGCATAAACAATCATCTTGCAGCTATAGTTTCCAAAAGCACGGCGCCAACGACCAATGGATAGGGAACTACGTCTTGTGGGGTTCCACTACTCACATTTCGTCCGGCTTTGATTCAACCCCAAAACCATCCAGAGTAGCTACGACTACTTCCGGTTGTAACAAGGTAACTTCCTACCAAATTTCGTGCAAAAAGAAAAAAAAAATTGTGCAAGATATTTGAATTTTTTACACCAATTTTGAGGTTTTGTGAAGGAAGATCTCTCTATTACCTACAACATTGCCATATAACTTTTTTCTATAGGGGTCATAGATTTGCCGGAAATCGAGTGAAACCATTCTTAACCATTAAAAATTCATGAATGCTCTTCGTCTGCCTTTCCTGACCCCAGATCGGTCGGAAACAATTTGTTTCCGATGGGTGCCAGCCAACTATGTTTTATTTAAATTTTTATCATTTTCGAGCGCTTTTCACTAGTTTATACATATATAATATATAAATGATTGGGATGACGAGAGGAGTTGAATTCCGGTTGATAGTCTGCCGGACCGTCTCTTAGTCGAACAGCGATAATTTCAATCAAAATTTAGATATATTGAAGACACTTGGTATTTGGTATGGATGAAATCAGGTGAGAGAAACACTCATACGATATATATATTGGGCACGTACTAGTTAGGTTACAAACTTATAAAAAAGTGATTATTTAACAAAAACAAAAAAAAAAAAAAAAAAAAAAAAAAAAAAAAAAAAAAAAAAAAAAAAAAAAAAAAAAAAAAAAAAAAAAAAAAAAAAAAACACGTCGAGAGCTTACCGAGAACAGTGTAAACAATGAACAAAGGGGTATCGACCACTTTTTTAAGTGAAATTCTACATTTATTTGCAAATAATAGTGCTCGCTCAACTGTACAAATGACCAAAACTCGCTCATAGCATAGCTTTGTAAGCACTTAGCTGTCAAATATGTCAAATGGACCTCGAATGTATAGTTTTGATTTTTTGTCCATCAATAAACTCATCAGCAAACTGTACTTTTTACACATTTAAATAACACTTTATGGCCTCATTTCACTCGTTTAGACCATATAAACTTTATTAAAAAGTGTGAAATTCTGTGCCAAACAATTGTAATTTTCCACAGTTTTTACATGGTCGTTTTTGTATTAACACTTTCTCTATTTTGTATTTTATTTTGACAACTACCATTCAACTGATAATTAAAAAGTTTTTGGCATGCAAAAAGAAAAAACAAAAAATTAAAAAAAAAAAAACAGTATTAATGAATTAAACTTTATGACTGCATTGCCATGGGCCTTCGGCTGAAAACTTCAGTTGTATACTGAAAGCAAAACTGTATAGTATAGACGACAACATACATGCATGCTTATAGATAAACATGCCTTGTACACAAATGTATACAATTTTAATTATGCCAACTTTCTTGCGACTTCCTGCCTGGCGATAATTAATGCCCAAAAATATTTCAAGCTCCTACGGCTATTCATTTTGTATGCAAATATGCACATTAGGGTGTCTGTTATTTTCGTGAAATTGCAGTTTTTGTCGTAAAGCAGGTTACACAAAGTAAATAAGTGATTTATTTTAAATTCATACCGTACCTAAATCATGTTTCCTTTTCCATAACTAAGAATTTTGTAATATTTTGCAAACAATTTTTTTTTATCTCCAAAGCAAATAAGTCAACAGCTTTGAAAATAGAATATTTGATACAAGATTTTAGACTATAGCAGAAGGGTCTGTATAATTGTTTCCCAAAAAACATTGTTTTGAAAGTTATATGCAATTAAAATTATACTGCATTCATGCAGTACACCATGTCGTATGATCAACATAGCACTTATAGGGCAGTTGTATATACGGTGTGTTTGTTTAAATATTTATTATTTAAATGATGATTGGAATAAAGGTGATAAGCAAAAAGATGCATAAATGAATGATAATTTAAAAATAATATTCAAATGATTATTAAAACTTAACAAAATTATGTGTTTTCAAACATTTTCTTAAAGCTACACAAAAAAGGTGCCTTTTTCGTGGTCATTACAATAGACGCTCATAAGCTTTTAGATTTTTTAAAAGAAAATAATTATTTTTTTTAACTAAAATTTTTAGTTTGTGTTACTATTTGATTTATAAGAAATAACAAGTAAGGAAGGGCTAAGTTCGGGTGTCACCGAACATTTTATAGCTGTCTCTTATACACATCTAGATGTGTATAAGAGACAGGTATGGGAGGTGGGCGTGGCTATTATCCGATTTATTCCATTTTTGAACTGTATATGGAAATGCCTAAAASCTGTCTCTTATACACATCTAGATGTGTATAAGAGACAGGTATGGGAGGTGGGCGTGGCTATTATCCGATTTATTCCATTTTTGAACTGTATATGGAAATGCCTAAAAGAAACGACTCTATACAGTTTGGTTGACTTAGCTGTAGTAGTTTTCGAGATATGTACAAAAAAGTTAGTAGGGGGCGGGGCCACGACCACTTTTCCACAAAAATTACGTCCAAATATGCCCCTCCCTAATGCGATCCTTTGTGCCAAATTTCATTTTAATATCTTTGTTTATGGCTTAGTTATGACACTTTATAGGTTTTCGGTTTCCGCCATTTTGTGGGCGTGGCAGTGGGCCGATTTTGCCCATCTTCGAACCCCTAACCCGCTTATGGAGCCACGAAATACGTGTACCAAGTTTCATCAAGATATCTCAATTTTTACTCAAGTTACAACTTGCACGGACGGACGGACAGACGGACAGACGGACGGACGGACAGACAGACATCCGGATTTCAACTCTACTCGTCACCCTGATCACTTTGGTATATATAACCCTATATCTGACTCTTTTAGTTTTAGGACTTACAAAAAACCGTTATGTGAACAAAACTATAATACTCTCTTTAGCAACTTTGTTGCGAGAGTATAACAAGTATTAAATCGAAGTCAACGAAAATTGTGTTCCCCAGTGTTATTCTCTTCTCCAACAAAACTCTAATTTTCTTCTATTGTTTCATAAGAAACATCATAACAACTTGTATCTCTGAGGAACTTTTTTCAGAGATTGAAAGCGTCATATTTAGGTGAAGATTTAGAGTGGAGGGAATGACGTAATATACATATGTATGTATATGGCGTATACAGGAAATCTAGTGAATATGCATATGAGAAATGCAGTGGATCTCAATCTTCTTACTATAAAATTATATTAATTATATAAATATTCAAAATAAGGTTGTATTTATACAACCGACATTTTATTAAGCTTAAAGCGGATTTTAAACTTCAGAGTTGTAAAGTTCCACTGACATTTGTTTGAGTTTTAAAGCATACAGCCAAAACATCAGATACTCGGATCGCACTATGGTAAGTGTGGTAAAAAATTTCAGTACAGATCATTAAGAGCGATAAAGAGGTTTATTGGACACATTTGGTAATAGACACCACAAATATAGTCTTTTTGAGGTAATTTGTGAACATTTTGTTGAAATTTCACAATTAAAATTTTGAGAATCTTAACTAAATGTAGACATAAAGTGTATAGACCAGCAATGGCCTAGCAAGTTGGGCGCAAAACTTTGCACTGTCTTTCAATGAAAAATATTCAATGTGACTAAATAAGTCATAACCTCATTTAAGAGTACATAAACGTGGCAGGAAAACGACCGGCGTACATACCTACATGCACACCTGACTAACCTGAAACGAGTTTCTAAGGCTAAGTCTATGTAAATGCACTTTGGTTCTTGAGTCCATTACCACTAAATTTTCTAATTTGCAGCGGCCAAATGGTTTGCAAAATTGCAGTTGTTTAATTTTACAATGCAACTGCCAACGGTCGTACCAGGCAGTACCAGGTTGCAGGTTGCTGATGAAAAATTATGAAATCAAAATCTTTACATTTTCCAATGCGTCTTGCGTCAGCAGCCAAGCTCATGTGATTTTTGTATGAATATAACGAGTGAGAAAGAGGGTGCAAAATTCTGCCAGTGCCGAGTATAATGTTATGACATAGCAGAATGCACAAGCTGTACGAGTGACTGCAGTAGGCCGTTGCACTGACTCGTTGCATAACTCTTTCCATTTTATGACGGCCAATGGCATATCACCTCGTTTGTGTTCTTTCAAAATGGCAAGCCAAAGAGTTTCTGAAGTCTCAGTCGAAAAGGCGAGCTTAGTTTTAGTTGATTATGTGTCTATTCAGTCAGTTTTTCGTAGCTGCATGCTTGTGTGTTTTGTAAGTGTGATAGTGTTGCTATTTTTGTTCTGGGATTTCGACATGCAATCGATTTCAGAATTTTGGTGCTCTATTTCAAGCATATTAAATGGTGTGCAAAGGCGTTTTGCTATTTTAAGAATTTGCTGCTGATTATTTGCACTAAGAACTTTGAGAATGAGTGTCTTAATAGCTTTAAGACTATGCCACAGAATATGGTATGTAGAAAATGCGGCTGAAGTCTAAAGGTTATCCTCAACAAACCCAACCTCCACAGCAATAACACACTCAAGCCCTTTCTTAACCGGCATCCAACAGCACGTTGAATGACAATCAGATCAAGAGCGGTGCACCTAACAGAACCTGCATAGCATTTCTTGAAACGATGCGGCATACAGGTAAACAGGCAAGCATCATTCCACGCTGAATTAAGAAGAGAGGATCCCAGGACTGCCGTGGCTGCTTCCCATCATACAGCGGTTCCATAAGTTGCACAGGTTAAAACCAAGCCACGATATATGGTGCGAACAGCGCTTTAACTCGCGAACGACTTAAAAGAAACGAAAATCAACCAAACACGTGTTAGCGTGTGAAATGAGCTTTCCAAAAGGCATAGCATGACCCGATGCGACGAATAAAACTAGAACTACGCGCTCTCAGCGCCAACCAGCGAAAATACCGCAAGACTTTTTTGACAAACATATATGGACCACGGATGGAACCCTGAGGGCAGTCATGAACCATTCCAATCTCCACAGTTCCATTTATTCTAAGGGATAGGAAGGCCTTTCTATCCGAAAAGCAAGTCCGTCTAAGAGTAATTTCTGGACGGCCAAGCTCTTCTGGCCATTGCACCACTCGATCCCAGCTTAGGTAGTCAAACTCCCCCTTGAAGACAATAAATATGGCAAGAACATACTTGTTGACATTCTCCCTAACGACATTCTGAACGTGAAACCATGCATCCTCTATACTCCTCGTTGGCACCTGAAGCCTTTCCACCATAACTCTTTGCAGCACTTCTTCAAGTACTGAAAGCAGAGTGATGCCCTGATAAGAACGAGGATCGCCCCTGATCTTATCAGGGGACTTTAAGAGAGGAACAGCTTCTAGAATAAAATATTGTAAACTCACCAATGCCCGAACCAGCTTCCAGGCGTAATGAGCCCCACTCCCATGAGACTCGATGTGGTCGTGGATCTGCACAGACCACCAGTGACATAACGGCCGGCTGGCCACGCTTTACCGATATTGTGTGCATCGATGGATGTGGGCGTAGTACTTGCGGTGCACCTGAAATGAAAGAAAATTGAAGACTAGTTTAAAAACAGTTTCAGAAAGGAAAACTAAACATTATTATTATTTTTTTAACATTTGAATAGTGCTGATTCAACCAAAAACAAAGTAATTTTTAATGCTAATGCCCTAAATTGATACTTGCAACCATTCAAGTAGTTGGTGTTGCCTCAACTTAAATTTAACCTAATGTTCTTTGCTTTGCTCTAGCGGAACTACCGTAATATTATTTACTAACAACGACTTAAAGCATTTCCAATATATGACTAAAACCTGTGATACTTGCCAACAAGCCGCATGGCTTGACGTCAAGCTTAATAAATGTTGCATGCAACCTGCTTGGTCACACAATGCAAGTGAAGTTATTAAAAAATCATAAGCAAGAGCAAACACAGCGTCAGCATATAAATGCAGTGACAACAAAGCACAGTAGTATGGATAAAACTTTTTATTTTTAAGCTGCTTGCAACAATTACACAGACACACATACACACGCATACAAACATATATATAAGCACCGATATACAGGTATATATGTATGAATGCGCTAGCAGATTGGTTTCGTGTGCACTCCTGACAACCACAAAAACTTGCTCGGTGACCGCAAAAATGAAAACACCAACAACAACAACAACAACTTGAACAAAAAACGACAGATGTTTACAAGAAATGAAGGCAAAAAATTGTAAATGCAAAAGATGTTTAAATTTACTGCCTCCACGTGTATGTTGCCACACGCACATAATTTATGAGCTGATGCTGGCAAACAAAAACAACAACAAATATTATTGCAACAAGCAACAAATGCTATGGTGGCAAGTCAAGTTGGTTGTTAGTATGACCGTAAAAAACATAACAACAAAAAACGTACATATGTATGTATTTTCAAACAAAACGCAAACACATTTTTAATTCTTCTTTTTTTTCAATATCGCTGCAGTGTTTTGCTTGTGCTGGCAATGCTCCTCTTGCATTTTCACATTTGAACTTGCAACTAGATAAATTTTCTGCTCAGTTTGCTGGACTTGTAAGTTGAGTTTGTTAGTTGTGCGGTTTATCGGATGTTGCTCACAGTGTTGTTACTGTATTTTACTCAGTTTCCAATTGTTGTTGTTGTTGTTGTCGCCGCTGTTGCCGTTACAACTGACCACAGAGTTGCGTACCAACTACTTCGTTGCATATTTATGCATTATATGCTGCAACAGCTGATTATTTCTGCCACATTTACATACACACGCACTTATATTTATATAACTTCTAGTTGTCTGTAAATTTACATACTATTTATAAATCATAGAAGTGGTTTAAAGAATTTGTTTATCTTCTTAGCATAAGATCATCCCTTAGAAATCGGCGAGAAGACATGCATAATAAAATCTTTGCAATATTCTCTTATATGCATCTGAAAACTACTAGTTAGACTAGTTGGTAATTCTTACGCCGCTCGTGAGCATCTTCGTAGTGATTCAGCTATTGTGAACTTTAACGGGTTGTATTACCTCGCAATGTTACAATCGACCACAACACGGGTTGGATGCGAAAAGACACTCGAGAGTTGAATAGGAAAGAAAAACACATTAGCAAAAAACAAAAAAAAACAGAGAAAGGATAAAATGCGTGAGTACGAAGGGCGTGATAAGCTGGCCGTTAGGGGTAATGCTAGCAAATTCTAGGAACACATGCGGCGGCGAACAGAAGACTTCAAGAGCGGAGCATACCCTTTTAGAACCACCAGTGGTGATCTAGTGACTGATGGCCAGATCATACCAATGAAGGGAACATTTCTCCAGTCAGCTAAATGGCAGTGACACTAGGAGATGGGGAACCCGATTCCCTAATCGATGACGAGGGAGCAGACGTCAATTGCTGACCATGATTAAATTCGAATAGCAATTACGCGGCCGAGAAGCAACAAAGCGGCGGCGGCCGATGAATTGCCGTCCGAGCTATTTAAATACAGATCAAAGTACTGATAAGGAGCATGCATCAACTTCTTTGTAGAAACTGATTGAACCTTAGTGTGGCTTAAGGCTTGAAAAACCAACAACTTCACGGTGAGCCATATCTGGAAAAGACCGTGAAAAGAGAATTGTCACACACAACCTCTTCGTCGATTTTAAAGTTGCTCTTGCCAACTCATGCCTTAATGACGTTATGTGTGAATTTGGTATCCCCTCAAAGCCAATGCGGCTGTTTAAACAGACGTTGAGCAATATTAAAAGCTCCGTTAAGTTCGGGAAGGACCCACGCAAGCCGTTTTCACCAAACGAAGTTTCTGATAAGAACGAGGGTAAGACGATATATCTCCTGTCATCAAGCAATGAGGCGTGGCATATCATTAAAGTGGTAGATAATTTCGGTTACTTTGGAGCCAGCATTAGCTCGTCAGCCTCGAAATCCAACGCAGAAAAACTTTTGCCAACAGGTGCTACTTCGGACTGAGTACGTAATTGAGAAGTAAGGTCCTCTCTCGACGAACTAACACCAAATTCGACAAGTCGCTTATCATCTCCGTCCTGCTATGTGGTGCTGAGGCATGGACGATAACAACATGTTACGAGTTTTCGACAGAAAGGTTCTGCGGAAGATTTATTCTCCTTTGCGCATTGACAACGGCGAATACCGTAGTCGGTGAAACGATGAGCCTTATGAGATATACGACGAAGCAGCGGCTACTCAGGCTAGGTCAGGCGGTCCGAATCGATGAAAACTACTTTATAATTTAGCTCTGAAAGTAATCGGCGGCGTATCCGCCGGGGGAAGCAGAGGAAAAGAAAAAGCTTCAATATATTGGAAAAATCAGAGAGAGAAGGACCTGGCTACGCTGGAATCGCCAATTGGTGCCATATTGCGAAAAGGATGAACAACAGGCGCGCTGTTGTAAACTCGACTGTAACCGCGTAAGTGGTGTCTACGATAATAAAGTAGAAGAAAAAGCTAACTAAAGAGAATATGGATTTAAGTCTTCAGTCATTTTGCAATTGACTATCTAGAGGGCTTCCGACGATTCCTTCTGGATGTTACAAATTTCGTGGCAAACTCTGTCTACCCAGTTGTAGATGAGATTGCAGAAGTGCTTTGAATTCTCACTGTCACCGAGCCCGTATCGCGGTGCGGTCTTAGAAGACCAGCAGAGTTGTTTCATTACAGAAGTTCATTAACAAGTTAACAAGGGCCCCGGCTGAAACATTAAATAATATTCCAAGGAAAGATTTATCTCTAAGTATTTTCTTAGTTCTGTTCTTCCTAAAACAATCACTTGTCACAAAGTGGATGAACTGAGTTGGCAAAATGTTTCTGGCAGTTTAAATATGTCCTAAAACGCCTTCAAGATATATCCGATCTGACTTACAAAAGTTTTCTAGCTGGCATGGAGTGGTATGGGAAGCGAAGCTGGCAGATTTCTATGCCAGTTTATTACAAAAACGGGCTTTAAAGCAGTAAGCAGATGTTCGACGTTTAACATATGCATGTATATATAAATGTTGCCACTTCAAAAGGGTATAATTCAGATAATTGTAAACACTTTTTAGAAAGAAATGCTGGCTTTCAAGAACAGTGCAATTACACTATAAATATATTGATATATTTCATAAAAAAATATTCGTTTTACTTACCCACAACTTGCAGCGAAATTGGTTCGGAGACAGCAACGCGCTCCTGTCCATTGATATAATTGGTGGCGCGGCATTCATATTCACCCTGATAGTCGTAGGTGACATTGTCAATAACAAGGCGTGGCTCACTGCCACGTTCCACGAACTTGGAACCATGCGCTATTCTGGAAAATAAAACCAAATTATTGGTAAAATGAAATTTTTTATTATGAAAAATGCGCCGGTTTTAAACAATTCTTCGAAAAACTTCCACAGACACACACAAACCACATAAACTGTGTGGAAACACAAAAAAAAAACAATGTCTCACAATAGCTTTTTTCATGAAACGTTTATTACAGCGTTTGACAAACCCTGCGGAATTTCCAATAAGCTTTACTGAACGCTGCTCAATGACTTGTAGTCAACGAGCTATGGCATATGAATAGCCAATTGACTGAAGCCAAGCAGCAGGTATTAAAAATTCTTCGCAGAATACCATTGTTGCACCGAAATGCTATGAAGTGCAATATTTATCAAGAGCTTTGTAACGAATGTGTTTGCCATGAGGTAGGGAATAAATGTTCATATACCCGGGAAGAAGTATAATTAAAATTTTTTGGAAAGTGAGTAAAAAAAATTTTCCATACACTTGTATGATCGCTAAGTTTATATTTATAATTTTTATACTCTTGCAATATATTGGTTCAGAGTTTTGTTCACTTAAGGTTAGTATGTATCACCTAAAACTAATCGAGTTAGATGTAGGGTTAGATATATATTAGGGTGATTCAAAAAAAATTATTTTTTTTTCTCTTTTGGTACTCTGAAAAATAGGTTCCTAGACCTCACGGGTAGCCTCTCCCAGAATGAGTTTTTAATTGTAACGGCAAGCTCCTCCTAATTACAATTTCTATTTTTTCTTATTATCATATACAAAACTTTATATATCTCGCTTCCAACTATTTGAAAAAATATCTTGTTCCTTCGATTTTGTAGGAAATTGAATGATCTACAAAAAAGGTCTGTACGATTTTTTCGTAAACCCAACCGTTTAAAAGATATTAACGTTTGAAGTTTGATTACATTGGGAGATTTTTTTATTTTTTATGAATTTTATAACTCAATGAACTAAATTATTATGAATGTTGAAATTCATAGGTTTTTGGAGAGCCTTTGTGAGAGGTGCCTGGGAACCTATTTTTCAGAGTACCAATCGAAAAAAAAAATTTTTTTTTTGGTGCACCCTAAAATGCATTCATGTTTGACGACGAATATTTCGTAAACGCTTCACTTAATCGAAAAATCCAAACCATTTTTTATAGATGTACATTTTTCTATCTGATAATAAGGAAAAATAGAAAACTGTAAGTAGGAGGACCATCCCGTTACAATTAAAAACTCATTCTTGGAGAGGCTACCCTAGAGGTGTCTAGGAACCTATTTTTCAGAAAAAACGAAAAAACAAATTTTTTTTGTTTGAATCACCCGAATATATATATATATGTATATATAAATGATCAGGGGGATAAGACGAGTTGCAGTACGAGTGATTGCCTGTTTGTCCATCTGTCCGTCCGTGCCATAACTAAGCACGAAATTAAGATATAAAATCTAATTTAGCATAGGACATCACAGTAGCAAGAGGCAGCTGCGGGCAAAAATTCTTGAAAAAGTGTGTGTGTCGATTCTTATTTTTGCAATGTGGCCCTCCCTGCGGGTACTGTGCCCAATACTCTCAGGGTAGAAGTGTTTTATTTATTCTTAATTCGCTGAGCTATGTCAATCAATATCTCATACAGATCATCGTTCCATCGAATGCGATATTCGAAGTTGCCAACACGCAAAGAAACATAAATTTTTCGCGTTTTACTTTCTTCGTCCGAAGTAGCACCTGTTGATAAGAGTTATTATGCGCAGAATTTCAAGGCTGTCATTATTGTTGGTAATAATACCGGCTTCAAGAAAGACACACAGCCATATCAGTTCTACGGGGATACCAAATTCAGACAAAGCGGCATAAAGGCAGCTCCTTTTCGTTCGATACATGATCAAAAGCAGTTTCAAAATGGATAAAGAGGTGGTGCGCGTCCATCTTCCTTTCATAAGATTTGACGCATGGGTTAAATCTGGTCAGTTTTTGATTTTCTAGTCTTAAAGCCATACTGATAAGTTCCAATAAGATTGTTGACGGTGGAATTTAATCTTTCACATAATACGCTCGATAGAACCATATGCCCGATGTTGAGGAGCTTATCTCACGGTAGTTGGCGCAGATTATTGGGTCTTCCTTTTTGTGGATTGGGCAGAGCACACTTAAGTTCCAATTGTTGGGCATGCTTTCGTCCGACCATTTTCTACAAAGAAGCTGATGTCGTGTCTGAATAGCTCGGCCGGCTCCCGAACGTGGTGTGGTCGATCGTTGCGAGGTAGGCAGTATGTTTTCTCTCCGCTTCTGTTCTTTTGCCTTTTCCGAAAAACAATTATGCCGATTTGTTGACGAGTGCGTTCAAATAGCTGGAATGCAAATCGAGTAGAAAATCGTTATGCTGTCTGTTGTAATTGCAGTTTTCGACGTCGAGCCTTCATTGTATGTGTTGACTTGCGTTTTTTGTTGCACAGAGGCGGCTGCGTATCTTGGCCGCAAGAAGATAGTGCTGTGAGCCGATTTTGCTTCCTTGGAGCGTACACACGTCTGGAACACTGGAGATCTATCTTTCGACTATCTGGTTGTTGGCTTTTCGAATCGGGGGACAGCCTGCTGGCATAATGAATTTCTTATACTAAAATCTAGTACTGCAGATAACCATATCTCGTGCCCCGAAAGTCGATCAGCCTCAACCCAGTTGGGGATGTTTCCTCATGGAGGCTGAATTTCCCGACCAAAGATATCTTCATTGCCAACCTGGCGTTAAGGTGGCCAAGGACAAGGATTTTGACATTATGGCTCTCATAGCTGCGCTCCAAGCGCTCCCTAAGGTTTTACCCCGGCATTAATCCTTGCAAGTTGCAAGAGTATGAAATGTGCAGTTAGCTCTTCTTTACTTGTTATTTGTTTTTTTTTTTTTAATTTCTATTAATTAAAATGCGCAAATTTCGTGTTGCAAATAACGGTTGTTATAAATATATGTCTTTTTTTAAACATTTATATTGCTTTAAAGAGAATAAATAACATTTGAAGCTACATTCTGCAAATGATTTTAAATATCACTTAAGCATGCCGGGCGTGCACTGCAAGCAGAACAAACTAAGTAGATATTTGAGTTATGGTAGAGAACATAAAAAACGCAAGCAAGCATAAAAGTGATAAGAAATAAAGTTAGAAGAAAAGTTAGCAGCCGCAAAACCAACAGGCATACACACACACATACATACTTATATAGGTATATGGCGGCAGGACTTTGGTAGCTACATGTGTTTACGCGGCGGCATTAATATATTTACACATTTAGTCGGAAGTTCATAAAAACCTGAATTACAAAGCAAATGAAAAACTTATTATTGCCACCACACATACACACACACAACCGTATGGTATTCGCCACGTATGAGCAGAAATAGCCAACACATGCTTGTTCACACACATACACATGTGTACTGCTTAATACATATACTCGAACTTGTATTATATAATGTTATTGTTGTGGTTTTTTTGTTGTTTGTTGTTGGCTGTTTGCCGTTTTTTCGTTGTGGCTGCGGTTGCAATTGCCGCTATCGCTGTGTGGCGCTTCCTTTCGCTTTCCTTCGACCGATTGTCGCTTTGCATGCTAATTAGCAGGAAGCACATGAGCAAGCTGTTACATATATACATACATATATATATATATGTGTGTGGGGCACTATGAGTGAATATTTTGTCAACATTACCGCCACAACATTAGTGACAGTCATTATTTAGCTCATTGCTCACATCCGTACATGGCTTGTAATTAGTTATTATTGTTGTAGTTTTTATATTTACACAGTAAGCAGGGAAAATAACAATAAAAACGTTACATAGGCTTATTTCAAATCAAAATGCTCGGCCACTTTTATTCATGTTTAGTCTTCTTACAACTGGATATTAAGAAAGCCAGGTGCCATTTGTAAAAGACTTGATGGACCAAGACCAAGGTGAAGCGATTTGTGAAACAGGTATTAGATATTGATCCTTTCTAGATTGTAAGTGAGTTCTGATAAAATTTTTGGCGGATCGGTCCAAATATCAAGAGGTTTGTGTGTTGGTTGGCGATTTTGATCACGGAAAAAATGGAACAAGTTTCTTTTTAAATTTTTTGTTTCTAATGACATTTCGGCCACAAAATATCTCAAAGGACAGCAGAAGTGTTTTTGGCCAACCTTTTCACGAACACAAGTACTTAAGTGGCAAATGAATTTAGTGAAAATCGTGAAGTCAACATTCAACAACTTCTATTAATTAAAAAATCGAGCTTGAGAATTATCGTGTTGGCAACAGAGAGATAGCAGAGAATCCACTCAACACATTTTGATTAAAGATTTGGTTATGCAGCGCGTTAAAGCTAAACTTGTAACAAAAAATCTGTATCTTTTGCAGAAACAACGTCAAGTGGTGTGCAAATAAATGTTTGACAACCACAACTGAGAACACTTCATTTAGCAAACGTGTCATTACTGATGACCAAACTTAGGTTTATGAATATGACGTCAAAAGACAACAATCTAGTAGAGTATGCTCCAAAATAGAACCGAAACCGAAAAAAGCAAAAATCGCTGAAAGATGGTATGACCCTCAGTCCCGAATGAGACTTTTAACAAGTTGCATAACAAGTTGCTTGCCAGTTTCTTTATTATATTTATACACAATAAAGTTCGTAAATATTTTTGTCAGTCCGTGTCAAATTTGATGCAGCTACCGTGCTAGTAAAGTTGACTAGCTCTTAAGAACGCTGAGATATAGGAGCCAAAGCTATTTATATGTACATAAGTGGTTAGGCAACCTATATATATTTGCCTATAACTATATCACGAAATTAGAGTGTTATTTACTTAGCTAACACAAAGTATAAAAGAACATTTTGTGTTCTTTTTCAGGGCCCTATTTATGTGTCTATATGTTTGCTTAGTAGACTTGTATTCCTTTAGTCAATTGGAAATCTAAAAAATCTCAACCGAAAATAATGAACGTTTCCTATCTTATAGTTATTGCAGACCTTAGTGTCGCTCC